ATACGACATGTTTAACTTCCCCAAAAAGAGACGCATGAAAATCCCCTAAACTTCATATAACAGAAGTGCCATTTAACAGAAATTTATATAACAGAAATTTCATTGGACAGAATATTTATATGGCAGACAATTCCTATAACAGACTTTTCATTGGACAGACGTTTGATTGGACAGAATTTTTATCGAACAGAAATGTCACTTAACAGAAATTTTATCTGACAGAATTTCCATTCAACAGAACATAAGTATAGCAGAACTCTTATTGGTCATAATTTAACTTTTGCATCATACATTCTCATCCCTGCTATATTTTTAACTTGTCGGTAAAGTAGACGTAGAGGTCAGTAGTTGCTATTTCTTTCTCGCGCCAAAGTTTGAATATTAAATAATAAAACTAATATTTTATTTATTTATAATTATTAGGTATTCATTATCAATAATAATGAAATAAAATATTAGTTTTATTATTTAATATTCAAACTTTGGCGCGAGAAAGAAATAGCAACTACTGACCTCTACGTCTACTTTACCGACAAGTTAAAAATATAGCAGGGATGAGAATGTATGATGCAAAAGTTAAATTATGACCAATGAGAGTTCTGCTATACTTATGTTCTGTTGAATGGAAATTCTGTCAGATAAAATTTCTGTTAAGTGACATTTCTGTTCGATAAAAATTCTGTCCAATCAAACGTCTGTCCAATGAAAAGTCTGTTATATGAATTGTCTGACATGTAAATATTCTGTCCAATAAAATGTCTGTTATATAAATTTCTGTCAAATGGCATTTCTGTTATATGAAGTTTAGGAGATTTTCATGCGTCTCCACAAAAAATTGTATTCTTGCTGCTGCCTAGTTCTTGAGTGACATCGATTTGTTATTCTTCTAATGCTTCGTATTTTCATCATGTCTTGAAATGTTAAAATCCTTAAAAAATCCTTACCGATTGTAACCACGAAACTATCCTAAAGGTTATCAATATTTTTTTTTCAAAAAATTGACGTGTCTAACAGTAAATCTTGTCTCAGTTGTTAACTAAAGTATAAAACGTAATTTAAATAGAATGTATTGAATTTAATATTATATTACTTTAAATAATAACATAAATATATTATTATGCAAAAAAAAAAATTTACGGAAATTTCGCGGAAAATCCGCGGAGCTACTTCGCGGAGTTTATCGGTAATTTTTTCACGTGGGAGGGTATGTTGCCGTTTCTTAAATAACCTTTCGTTCATAGCTTTGTTTTATCACATTTTCTATATACTTCTATATACTTTTTTGAACACTCCTTACATTAATAAAAATAAAAAACTAATAAAAATATACATTTTTTAAATTTAGACATTTTATTTTAATCATAATATTATAAATTTCAAGTATGCCGCTCACCCCTGCAAGAAAGGCCGCAAAATCTCAAGCATAAATTACTGTAATATATATATGAAAATTCCATTTAGCAAAATTAAAAATTTGTTTTGGTATTATACTCATAATTATTACTGAAATATTAATATTACTATGATTATGACTTATGATTCATAAAAAATAATAACAACAAAAATAATAATAAAATAAAATATAACATATGTATGTTAAATATTTATTGAACAAAAACTTTTTGAGGAATTTTGGTCGCATTTTACAGAATTGTTCTTCATTGTCAAATCTGAAATAAAAATGTAAAATAATAAAATAGCATATTAAATAAAATGAAAGTTTTAGACCATGATAGTTTGCCGTACAATAAGAGCTGGTGAATGTAATTTGTAGCAAGGAAGACACAAAAGCAAAAAGAAATATATTCGACTGCACACACAATATAGGTCAACATATAACTTCAATATGTCTTAAGAGCGAAATAAAATTTTGATACAGAAAAAATTACTTATCTAAATATTTAATTTTACAAACTTTAAACAATTTTGAAAGAATTTTCTAGATTTTATAACCCTATTTGATAACCAAATTTGAAAATGTTATATATTTGTCTTGAGGTAGACAATTCTAGAATTGAATTGAATTGAATTGAATTTTGAACAGAAAATCAATTTACAATTACATATTTTAAAATTAAATTATATTTATTAAAAATTGTAAAAAATTATTTAACTCTTGTCTGCTAAGTTCAAATGGAGTTTGATAGCTCGAAGCTAATTTATTTTTCAATACCTGCACAATATATTTTTGACCTTGCAAATTGAATTTTTTAAATTGCCAAGGCAGCACGTAATATAACCTTAAAGTGAAGGGAATATTCCATTGAATATTTGGAATATTCTGGTGGATTATTCCAGGGATATTGAAGTAATATTAAAATGTCCGCCTCGTAGGATTATTTCAAGATGAAATCGAGGGAATGTTCCTTGGTTATGTTGAGAGAATATTCCCAAACAATATTCTTGGAATATTCCGAATATTTAATAGAATATTCCCTTCACTTTAAGGTTATATTACGTGCCGCTTGGGTACTTGCAACGAAAAAAGAATCGTTTTGAGAGTTGAAGAAATTAGAATAAAATATCATAAAACCGATATATTCAAGTAAATCATACTTAATTTTTGTTGATTATTTTAAAGAGTCATTAATTTAGTGATATAATTTTAATATAATATTGCATAAAAAGAAACACAAAATCAAGTTGTAGACTTTATTATTTTTATTTTTTTCCTTTAAATCAAAACGACTTATAATTTCCTACTTATAATTATTGAAAAAGATAAATTACTGGAAATAAATTATAATGTTGAAATAAACAAATTAGATTAATTCGTCTGTCAAAGATATAATTGACCGGTTCATAGGAAAACCGGCAAAGTTTAGAAGGACTAAACTTTTATTTCTCCGCATAATTAAATTAATAAAAGATACAAATTACAAACATAACCTCAATTTTTTCGCAAAATAAATTCGCAATTATTATAATTTTACTGATTACGTAATCGGAAATTAATAAAAAATATCACCCGCTTTGTTTGACAACATTTATTTATTATATTAATTAAATTAATGTCATACACGCCAAACTTTTATGAATTAAGTTTTATATCTTTTATTTTAATAAATTACAGTGTTTTTTCGTTAATTTAATTTAAAAAATTAATTATGTGTATTTATATTTGATTATATTCAGAACATACATTAAAATTACCGCGAGCCTTTTTCTGTAAAATAAAATTTGGAAATAATTATTATTTTATATGCAAATTCGAGGTTATGTTTTGTTGATATTTAATTATACGGAAAAATAATTTAATTTTCATACATTTACCCGATTGCCTATAAACTGCAAAACTACTCTTCTGACATGCGACATAACTTTTATTATTTATATGTACATCACGTCGAATTGTTTACTTTTTTAGACAGGCGCAATATCTACTTTGCACTATTTCTTTCACAAAAATGTTCAATTTCTATCAAAAATCCTTTAAATCGTAATGGCCCGGCCATCTGGCGTTCGCCGCGGTAATCTGCCCGTAAAACTTGTTGTCGGTAATCGCGAACCGTTACAATAGGCTACACACCAAAAATACACAATAAACACTTTAACTTTCACTAATTATTAACCAGTATTAATAAACTATTATACTTGAAAATAGTAAAATTATACTTTTTTAATGTTTACCTCTTATTCAAAATTCAGATCAACAACAACTCACTCGTTTGTCAAAACACATTCACATGACATTGTTACACATTTTATTTTTTATTTCACTTATTTGACATTAATATAAGACAAATAAGGTCTTAAAAGAATCATGTACACTTTATCTACAAATCCCAACAGTCACTTTACTATTTTTTGTTATTTAAACAACATTTTTAATGAAAGTCAGGTTCTGACACTTTTTTGACGTTTTCGCGTTAGAAACACGTCCACCCGTTCCGCCAGGGTTCAATTATAATTCTAACCTAAAAATACACTTAAAACTAATTTTAATGTTATATGAACTGTCAGTATGTTTGATTTATAAAAGTAAGTATAATTCATGTTTATTTATTTAATACCATTTTATTTTTAAATATTTTACTAATTAATATAATTAGTAAAATATAAAATTATTATTTTATTTTCTCATTGGACTTGTAGCGCCATAGTTGTAGGTAGCTGCCACACGCTGTGGTGGGATGTATGCGCGTGGTGGGGTAAACGTGGTGGGGAGTGGTTAAAAAGTGTAGCGTTCCAAAGCGTGAGAGCTCATTTCCAGCAACAGAGCGGTAGAAGTAACATCGCTATGGAGAGCTGCTCATGCTACAACTGCTCCGTGAGGAGGATGTCGCTGTACAATGTAATTAATATTAACGATCAAGTTATTTATTGAATGGTGCTAATTAATTATTATTATTAGTTGCCATTCAACACGACGCCTCCAGGAAGTCCACCCAGGGTGCAGTACCCATGGCATCGTCCAGAGACGCCATCAGGGTATGTAGAGCTGGAGACTCTGGCGATACCGAAGGCCCCGACGCCGGTGCTCTGGATTGCTTCAAGGTCGTCAACTATTGAGGCCAGGGCTGTGTCTCCAGAAGCCAGGGTGCAGACACCTTCACGACAACACATTCAGTACCAACTCAGTACTAATTTCGTGCATTTTGGTACTGAAATGGAACTGGGAAATTTACCTGCGAAAAGGATCGAGTTACCGTTAATACCCTCATAAAAGTGAAAAGCGACTAGCTTTTTCAATGTGATTGTTAAATAAATTAATAAAGAGTTTTATATTTATATAAATTTTATTATATCATAATAATATATGTAATATACATTAAGTATAGACTTGCCATAACTGTGGCTCAAATAAGACTAACTTAGGAGAGAACAAGAATATAATATTTGATTATAGTTTAGTATAAATACAGTGCCGTATCTCTACGCAGAAAAACAAATATATAGAAGGAATATAGAAAAATATAAATTTATCATTATTTTAACACGCTTCCTTAAATTTGTAACCTATTAATTTTTTAAACAGATATTATAACAAAAAAATCAAATTTAAATGTGAGTTCGAATTTATTTGGATTTGACAATATTAAAAAAAATTCTATACAATATTCAGATTCGTACTTATATTAGTCACTCCACAATCATACGTGAACAAAAGCTTGAAATTTAATTTAACAATATATATTTTTAGTAAAATCTATCAATTTGGTATTTGTGTGTAAAAGCATAAATTTAAAATATACAATTTGAATCGCAAGAATAAGTTATTTTTGTTTTTACTTATCTCATATATATTTCTCGGAATTTGATGAACAAGAAGCGCAGACACGTGGAGATAGAGTTCTCTTTTGGATGAGCGTCAGTCACAATTTTTGGATTATTTCAGTATAATCTTGGTCAAACATACAATTAATAAGACGAATCTCGGCCGAATCGAACTCAGAGAATCTCGTGTCGTTATTTCCTTCGAATATTGTTTTGAGACAAATTCTCACAAGGCTAGATTTGATATGTAGAAATAAACAGGTGGTCACCAACTTGCGACGCTTCAAACAGAGGTTTAATCCCCGCTTCCAAAGCAACGATAAAAAAAACAGGAATATCCACCTTGTTTCCGCCCACACCTGGACTGTACAAATTATACAATAAAATCAATTAGATCCCGCTACACTTTTTCGTTTAATACAATTACAATTTACTTACCCCGCTAACGGGTATACTATGCTCGTCGCAGCGCGACTCTTGCGATTCTAATATTCGCGACACACACAATACCGCTCATATCGCTTTCTTTCATTCGGTAGTAATCGGATTACTACCGATTACGCACGAGATTTACATACACGTAACAATCTATTCGGCGATCCCCGACTAATATCAAAATTCGTTACAAATTTATATTTCATTCTTTCAAATTTATTATTTCTCTTAACTTTATAAATTTTGCTTTGCCAAGTGATTTTGTAAATATGTCTGCTAGATTATTTTCAGATTCAACTTTTACGATATCAATAAAACCCTTTTCATAATTTTCATTCACGTAGTGATATTGTACTTCTATGTGCTTTGAATTTTTTGTGAAATTTCCAAATTTAGAAATGATTACAGCACCTGAGTTATCTTCATACAATTTTACAGGGGATTTTACATTTAATTTAAACGCTTCTTGTAACATTCCTCGTATGTAATTTACATCTGTGACTGATTCTGATAGTGCAACGTACTCTGCAAAAGTTGAGGATTTTACAACAGAACTTTGTTTGTGAGATTTCCAGAAAATTACATTACCGAATAATCGAATGACATAAGCCGAGGTAGATTTTCGATCTACTGTATCACCTGCCCAGTCTGCATCAACAAAGCAAACTAACATTTCACAATTTATATCTTTTTTATACGTTAATTTTTAATTTTTCGTTGAGTACAGGTATTTTAAAACACGTAGCGCATATTTGTTATGATTTTCGTTGTAACAATTTTGGTACCTGCTCAAGTAATTCATGCTAAAAGCTATATCTGGCCTAGTACCTGTGCTTATGTACAATAATTCACCAATCAAGTTTCTGTACTTAATGTTATGATTTAACTTTTCTGCACACTCTAATTTTAAATTTACTTCCATTGGTGTATTATAATTTTTTGCATATTCTAGGTGATATTTTTCAGCTAAAGACTCAATGTACTTTGTTTGGTTTAAGGTTAGAATGTTTTCACACATATTCATGTTTACATCAATTCCAATATAATTAGTTACTTTTCCCATATCTTTCATCTTAAAACGTTCTGACAATTTTTTCTTTATTACATCGATCAATTTTTTATTTTTACTACAAATTAACATATCGTCCACAAATATCAGAATGTAAATGAATTCTTTATTTTCGTAATTTATATATAAACAATAATCATGATTACTTCTTTTGAATTTTAATTTATTTAGAAACTCGTTAAAACATTCATACCATGATCGCGGACTTTCTCTTAATCCATATAAAGCTTTTAACAATTTGCAAACTTTATTTGTACCATTTTCGTAACCTTTAGGTTGATTTACATACACTTCTGAAACTATTTTTCCGTTTAAAAATGCAGTTTCTACGTCCATTTGTTCAATAAAGAAATTGTTCTGGCAACAGAAAGAAAGCAATAGTTTTAATGTCAACATTTTTGCAACTGGTGAATAAAGGTTTCCTACTGAGTCTGTTTGCTGAAACCCTCTAGCTACTAACCGAGCTTTATATAAGTTTTCATTTTTTTATTAAAAATCCATTTAACTTCAATAATTTTTTTATCTTTTGGTCTTTTAACTAATACCCACGTTTCGTTTTTATTTAGACTATTTATTTCTTTATCCATTGCCTTTTGCCAATTTTCTGAATTGCTACAATTTAACGCTTCCTCAATTGTATTTGGTATTATTGCATCACAATAATTTACAAAGACAGAGTTATTTACAAATTCATTATTAAAGTATCGAGTGTTAGGTTTTCGATTTCTAGTAGAGCGTCTTAATTCAATTTTATTTTTATTTTCTGAATCGGAATCAATCTTTTGAGAATTGTTATCGTTTTCTGAATCTATACTCTTGTATGATTCATCTTCGCTTATTTCACTCATGTTATCATTCATACTTTCATTATCTCTAAAACTTATAAGTTTAACATTATCCTCTACAATTTCTACATGTCTGGCAGTTATAACTTTATTGTTGACTAATACTCTATAACCTACTTCGGTATACCCCAATAAGGTCCCTAAATTTGCTTTTTTATCCCACTTCGATTTTCTTAATTGTTCAGGTATTCTAACGTAAACTTTACTCCCATATAATTTTAAAAACTTTACACTTGGTTTTTCGTTAAAGAATATTTCAAAAGGAGTTTTATGTTCAATGGTATTTGTTAGCGTTCTGTTTTTTAAATATGCTGCAGTTTGGATAATTTCTGGCCAATAAATTTTATTTACCTTTGCTTCTGCAAGTAAACATCTGGAAGTGTCCATAATTGATCGATTATACCTTTTAGCTGTTCCATTAAGCTCATGAACGTAAGGTGGGCAGGGATTTAAATGTATGCCCTTCTCCCTAATAAATTTGTAAATATTATTATTTAAGTATTCTTTTCCATTATCACATCTTAAATTTTTTATAGTTTTTCCCGATAAATTTTCGACTGAATTTGTATAATCGAAAAAACAATTATAGACCTCAGATTTTGATTTTATGACATAAACTTTAGCTAATTTACTATAGTCATCTAAAAAGGATAAAAAATATCTTTCACCCTTATACCCTACTGTCTGATGTGGCCCATTTAAATCTGTGTGAACTATTTCTAAAATTTCTTTTGCTTTCTTTCTATTATTTTCAAAAGGTATATTATGCATTTTATTTTCTATACATATAGAGCATTTCATATATTCTTTTTCTACTTGATTGGGTATACCTTCTAAAAGTTCATTTTTACATAACAGCTTAGATATTTAAAGTTTTCATGTCCTAAAGTTCGGTGCCATTTTTCTTTTAATGTTATTACTTGATCATTTATTTTAACAACACTTGAGTTCGATTGGCGACTGTTATTTTGATTATTTATTAAACACATTCTCGGTAACAAAAGCATTTGATTTAATTGGATTTTCTTCAGTTTTATCTTCTTTATCTTTATTATTTTCTTCAATTGATTTAAGTTTTATTTTTCCTTTCAAATATTCAACAGTTCTTTGATTTTCCGGTAGAACATCTATTAAGTCACCAATATAACTGTATGATTGTGGTAATGTCTTAATCATGTATCTTAGTTTTTCCTGTTCTTTGACCTTGGCTCCTGCTGCCTTCAGTTCATTTATCGCCTTCTCGAACTCATCAAAGAAGTTTGTAACTTCAGGATAATTTTTCAACTTTATGTTCTCCAGAGTATTTCGGCACATAATCTGCAATGCTGTTGATTCTTTTAAGTAAATTTCGTCAAATTTCTTTATAATTTTAAATGAGGAATCTAAGTCTCCAATGTACTCGAGTTGTTTATTTGTTATGGCACTGTATATATAGTTTGTTGCTTTAATGTCTGAGTGTTTCCATTGTTCTGTTTGATCGGTTTCTTCTATTTCTTTCGTTATTACTTCGATGCATTTTTTAAACTCCAAGAATTTAAAAATTCTTCTTCTCCAATTTGAGTAATCTGACCCATCAAAAATAGGTATAGTTATATCATCGATTTTCATATATTGTGCCATTTCTCCCTTTTATTCGTAGCACGTGTCTTCAAACTTAATCCCTTTTTCTTTTTGATTCTCACTTTTGCTTCTTTATTATTTAATCACTTTTTAAACCACTTTATTTATCACTTTATAAACCACGCTCTACTACCATGTTAAATAAATTAATAAAGAGCTTTATATTTATATAAATTTTATTATATCAGAATAATATATGTAATATACATTAAGTATAGACTTGCCATAACTGTGGCTCAAATAAGACTAACTTAGGAGAGAACAAGAATATAATATTTGATTATAGTATAGTATAAATACAGTGCCGTATCTCTACGCAGAAAAACAAATATATGGAAGGAATATAGAAAAATATAAATTTATCATTATTTTAACAGTGATTAAACTAATACTATATATTTATTTCAATATTATATTTGTTTTTCCTGGATTTATATTATTTTTATACATTATTATGCATATGATGTGTCCTTTGGCAGCTAAATTCAAAAATGATGTCCATTTTTTTGTCAAACTTAAGGTATACGAGATTAATTATAACTTTTTTAAATGTAATTATTTTTTGATAAATTTTAGATATTCATAATCGGGAAATATTAACGAATCTCAATATATATTTTTCAAAGTTGAGTTATTAAAATAATAAATTTTTTAAGCAATAAAACTCGGGTTAAAATTTTAATCCTTCAACAAAGGACCTAGGGGTCTATTGTTCAGAGAGGGATTGCAATATAATTTCCAAACTTAACATATATTTTCTACAAACTATTATATTTTTTTGCTGTTTTACACGTATATCGTGAGAGACGACGGTTTGTTGATCTTATATACCTTTAAAACTATTGTTAAAGTACTTTAAAAATGTCTTCTTATGGGTTATCGGGTAGTGGTACTGAAGTGGAACTCAAGCCAAGTCCAATTCAGTACCATTCCAGTACCACTCTTTCGGTAGGGTTTTCATTATTTCTACTTCAAACTGACATTTTAGGTCTCAAAATATTAGTAATCTTATTAATGATGTCTCATTTTATCATTATTAATAGTTTTTAACCCAATTTCAGTTATCTTTTTTTCAATATTTATCAAAGAACATAACAGGGACAGAACGAGAACGCATCTAGAACAATTGTTCTGTTCTCACAACGTTCCACTTCTTCGCGAGGGTATGATATATGATGATCCTATAGAAAGACTTTTTATGGGATATAGAAGTTTTGAGCTTGACGAGTGTTGCGGGGGGAAAACTGGGTTGGACCCGCCAGATCGGGTTCATCCTAGGCATTCCGAAGGACTCGTTGAGGATTGTGTATTTTTTCACAAATGATGCGGGGGGCGATGCGGGGTGAACCTTGATCCAGTTCGCCCTGGGAATTCCGACGGATTTGTCAATACATATATGTGTTGACGGTAGTGCACACGGAAATTTGTGTGGTAATATTGGGTACCCAAATGATGAATGTACTTGTTCGCGTAAAGAGAACAAGGTTGATGTTGAAAAAGAAAATCCATGGTTATGCATAAAAACAGAAAATATAATGTTAACAAGGAATCCAAAAATTGTAGACTATGATGATTCAGATGAATCGGATGGTAGTATGATTTTGGAAACTAAGAAAAAGGAAATTTTCAAGATAAATAAGGGTTTCAAGAGA